ATCAATCGGACTTCAATCTGAGTGATTAGATTTTCTGATACTTAAAATATTTTGAAAGCCCTCCAGAATCTGCTCTTGGTCCGATCGATTGGATTTTCCTACACTTAGAAAATTTTTAGGTTGTCAAAAATCACTTGGATTGGCCAGACTTCAAACAATCATAAATTGGTCACTTCTAACCCAAATCAAGCCATTCATGAGTCTAGATTGATGCATTTTGAGCTACCTTTCCATTGGAATCAATCTCATTTTATAATTTTAACTTAAAATGACTATTTTACCCCTTATGAGCCTAGGGTTCCGGCATGAACCCGAAGTTGGATTTACCATTCTTTAATGATCCAATGTAGTTATAAATGACTAATATGACTTCATTGTGATTCCTAACTCTTAGTAAGGTGTATAGTGATCATTTTGCCTTTAGTTGATCTCATGTTCGGGTGAGGACTTGGATAGCGATTCGGACCCCCGAGTTCGGGTCGTTACTTGTATTACATAGCAAATCCACAATTTAGCTTCTACTTTGTCAACAATATACAAAAATTCACCCATAAGAGTTTTATATTTACATAGCATACAAATAAAACATTTTAGCATCATCTACCTAGATATAAAATAAGATACAAAAATTTATAAAACTAGAAAAAAATAGATAAAATTACTACATCAAACAAACAAATGAAAAATATATAAATTTAATGCTCTGACACCTCTTTAGGTTTACCTTTATTGCTCACAGATTAAACTAGCAGGAAAAAAAGCCTAAACTGTCCCTTAGGTTTGAATAACTTTGACGTAACACCCCCTTTGATTAATTTACCGTTAAAAAAGTCAAAAGTTAACTAATTAAAAAAATATAATGTCAAAACTACCATTGATCAGTGAATATGAGATGTATGAGGCCATAAATGAATTTGACACCAACTAAGCCATAGATAGTGTGGAGCTTGACTTTTTTTGTTTCATTTCCCATTGAGTTGGATGCCTAATATAGCATGTGGTTTAATGGTTTTGTGGCTCTGGTCTTTCGCCCCTTTTCTCCTGGGATCAAATAAAGCATTCTCAATTCATTATACAGCATTTTCTGATGTTTGGTAAGACCTATCTACTTGACCAGCAAATTGCACAATTGGACCAAGCCTACGCACTAACAGGTGCCAAAACGAGATCGAAAAAGTAATCCATTTTCGAAGCTTTTATGAAAGAAATGGAGAGCTGCAAAACCAATCTATCATCTTGGAGTCTGATCTTGGCTTTCATAATCCATCGCGAGATGCATACGCAATTCGTGAATCGCAATTCGTTCGCAATATACCTGTCCTTCCTTTCTATAAACAGCCGTTTCTTTTCATTCATTCATGGATTCAAGGTAGTTACGGAATGGCTCACGTCAAACCGCCAGCGGAAGGTTTTTTTTGCAGACCCCTAATATCTTCTCTTCCCTTCCATCTAAACAAATAATGAAAGGGAAACATACTATTCCTAGGATATCTCATCCATATCTTATTCTCTCCCTTCTATCCAATATTCTTCCTTCCTTCCAAATCGAACATTAATCTGGATTCATACCAGCTATCATCAAATTTGAGGAATTATTGTGTAAAGAATATAATAATTAAAGAGGATAGTTCTCTTTAAAATTTGTGTGAATTAGATAAAGGCATATTGAACATTATTAAATATCCATTTTTCAACTAACATTGAGAAATATCTTCTTCTTCTTATTATTATTTAACATAGTCCACATTGAGAAAGAGTCAGTAAAACCAAAGTTAATGACTAGAATTAATAAAGAAAAATATGATAACATATGGATTGACTAAGGTTATGGTCTTAAATAAAGCGGAATGACCTAAGTAATTGGGAAAATACTTCGTTGTTGTCATATTCTTTGTTTGTTCTTAATTTGGGAGAATGCCAAATAAGGTTGTTTTTATAATTTCTTTTGTTTTTAAAATTTTGTACTTGTACATATAAATGTATTGCATAGCATATTTACACACACACACACACACACACACACACATATATATATATATATTCAACTTGTACATGATTGCTAATTTCTTAACACAATTCTCAATTTAGCTTTTACTTTGTCAATAACAGTGATAAACAATTCACCCACAAGAGTTTTATATTTATATAACAAACAAATAAAACATACTAGCAAAATGTATAAAAAAAGGAGAAGAATCAAGGGACCAATGTGGCTCTTAATATATATACATTTTTTAAATTTTAATCTATGAATTAAAAAAAAAAATTATAAAATGCCATCCTTAAATTTTTTCATACATATATATATATATATATATATATATATATATATATATATATATATATATATTTGCTTTAGTGTATGTAATTTTTTAAAATTGTACAAAATGTCCCTATAAAATTCTCTAACTGTTTTTTCTTCCTTTCTTTTTTACTTTTTTCAGGCTTTTCATCCTTTAAAAAAATTGCATTCATTTTCTTCAATCAAACTCTAATTTTCTTCTTCTTTCTTTTCCATTTTTTTTTTTTAATTTTTTTTATTTTCTTCCTTTGTTTCTTCTTTTACTTTTTTTTCTCTTCTTAATTTTTTTATTCCCGCACTCACATTTGATGTATCTGCAATAACCATTTCTTGTTATTTTTCTTTTTCTTTTGTTCTTTAATTTTTTTATTCCCGCACTCACATTTAATTTTTTCTTTTTCGTTGCCGTGGATGTATTGATTACGGAATAATACTAGATGGACATAACTTATTTTTATTATCAAATCATTTTCATTACCAAATCAAATATGATAATTGTTGTGTCCCTCCATATCTAATTTGACAAGATGCCAAGTTAGAATCCCAACCCCATCTTCCTCTGCTAACATTGCCATGTGAAAATAAAAATAAAAAAAATATATAAAAATAATAAAAGTACAGTACAATGACATTATGAGGTTTGTTATAAGAAAATCCAGATACAAGTTAGGCTTTTTTGAATAATGACACCTCCTCAAATTTACTTCTTTTGACGTAGACACCCTCAATGCTCTAACATGTGATAAAATGACTTAAATGCCCTTTGACCTGTCAAATGACACTTTTGAATTATAAAATTACCAATTTACTCATTCTAAATTGTCCAAAATAACCTCTTCATCTCAACCACATACCTATAAAGCTACCACCACCTCTTAGCACCACTACCACCATCACCACCACCTCTTCTTTCATCTCTTCATTCTTTATTATATATATATATATACACACACACGCATATATTACACATATATACACATACAATTACAATTTAATTTAGGGTAATTTACACAGACCTCTCCTATGGTTTGCCAAAATTATAGGCGGCACCCCTCCTATTCCGAAAATTACGCGGACCTCCCTTACTTTTGAAAATGTCTTACACGGACCTCCCTTATGTGTGATGGACCGTTAAATACATTAATGGAGCTGTCAAAATTACTGAAATGCCCTTAATTCTCTATGGTAAATGACTAAAGTACCCCCTCTCCCTCTCTACTCTAGACTTTAGTTATTTACCATGGAGAATTAAGGGCATTTCAGTAATTTTGACAGCTCCGTTAGTGTATTTAACGGTCCGTCACACATAAGGGAGGTCCGTGTAAAGGGAGAGAGAGAAAAAGGCGATCTAAGAGTTCTTCGGTTGAGATCTCGATCTGCCATCACAACTCTACTTCTTCTTCTGTCACATAATGCGAACAATTCATCTAGCCCAAATTGAACCGCTGTGGGCCAACGGGATAAGGGGTAAAACCTAACATTGAGGTTAAGATTAGTTCAGCACTATAACTTAAAGCAGATCAGTTCAGAACTGTATCTTAAAGCAAAAAACAGAAAGAAAATCGGTTGTATTTGGTGGCCTATAGAGAGCATCCATGAGAGAGAGAGAGAGAGGAGAAGTATCGTGGTGGATTGTTGTGTGTATATAGTAGCATCCATCAGATCCAGGATTTGCAGAGGTTACAAATTAAAGTTCAAAAGAAGAAAATTTGAAGATCAAATGGCCGGAGGATGCCGAAAATTTTGATAAAAACAAAGACTTTTAAGTTCAAAAGATGTCAGAAAATTGTCGCCATCCGCAAGCCCTGGATCCCAATCCCCAGTATCAAGTTTCGAATTCTTTCTCACTCATGCCTACTTTGGTAAGGGGTTCTTCATCAATACCTCGATTTCAGATCAGACCCTTAGTACATGGCATTACTTATTAGAACGAGCAAGTAGTTGTCCGACTTTCCAGCCAGATAAAGCCAAGATCAATTTAAAACATTTAAATCAATGATGACCTTTTTGAAATCTGACATACTCACCTACGGCATGTGATAAATTCTCCCAATCTGACATACTCACCAACGAAAATAAATGATGAATTACTAGTGCAATTGACGGTGCCGGTGAAACAACTATTGGTGCTGCAGCAGGTAGGGATGGCAATTTGACCTGCCCCCACAGTTACCCGTCCCACCCCGCACCGTTTTTGGTGGTTTTGGGGGACCGTTTTGTTTATTTGGGCGGAGATGGTTTGACGTAATAAAAACCCGCACGGGTTTAGTGCGGGGCGGGGGGAGGTCGCCCCGCACCGCCCCACCCCGTTTAGATAGGCAAATTACTTAAGTACCCTTATTTCATTAGTATATATATTTCTCACTATATATTAAGTATCCTATATAAGAATAATATTAAAGAAACAAATGAATTTGATTAAAAGGAAATTTGCAATGGCGAAGAATTGAAGATGAGGGGAAAAAAAAAAAAAAAAAAAAAAAAGAACAAATCTATATCAACAATAAATAATTTTTGGTCTTAAACGGGGCGGGACGGGTACCCGCGGGAGTAAAAATGTTAAACGGTTACGAGGATGGGGTGGAAAGTTTCCTCATTTTTGCGGTTTTGGGCGGGGGCGGGGACAAGGGCGGGGTTTTTAAATGGTTGTGGGGGCGAGGGAGGGTACACCCGCCCAAACTCGCCCACGTTGCCATCCCTAGCAGCAAGCGAGGTTGTCAAAGAATACACCGGAGAAGGGGTTATTGGTGTAATAGGCGGTGCCGGTGAGACAACTGAGGTTGGAGACCGAACTGGGCAGTGGGTCGCCGGAAAAGGCGATTTGGGTGTCATAGCTGGAACCGGAGAACTTACCGGAGGCATAGTCACCAAAGATGGTGAGATGGGTGACGTTGCCGGTGGAGTGTGAGAAATTGGAGATGGTGACAGTACGGGTGTTGTGGTTAGGGCCGACGAAGGGGTGGACTTTGTTGGTGATGGTAACGATGCTGGAGTCTGGCCCACTGGCGTCGGAGGTATAGCCACCGGGGGAAACTTGTGATGGTTTCTGACTGCCAAAACAACAACGATGAGCTAATCCCTTTTGGTAATTATCTTTGTTTCCACTGATGAAGAAGAATGGACCCGACCGATCAAACTTGAAGACTGAATCACCATCGTCCATCTTCATGATCGGCTTCTCTGTGTTGCACTTGTCATAATCATCTTTCTTGACAACTAGAACAGAGTCTAATCCATTCTTATACTTAAAAACTACAAATAATCAACTCAAAGAAGGTGGCATACATCTATAATATCATACGCACAGGTGGCATACACATATAATATCATATATATATATATATATATATATATATATATATATCAATCAATTGGTAGGGACAAAGGTATTTTAGGGATTTTACTAAAATTGGTAGATGACGTCATCATTTTCCGTCGTTGACTGCCGTTGACTCTAATAGAAGCGAGGTCCGTATAGGATATTTTTAAAAGTAGGGGAGGTCCATGTAATTTCTGGAATAGGAGGGGTACCACCTGTAATTATGACAAACCATAAGGGAGGTCTGTGTAAATTACGCTTTAATTTACTCCTACAATAAACCAAACCTTCCCCAAATTAATCACAAAAATTCTCCACAAACAAGTTTCAATACTCAACAATCAGGGTGGTTTCAATACTTAATGGGTTTCATTCAAAGGAAGTTCAGTTTAGGCTTAAGCCAGTGTGTGAAATAAGGTGGAAACCCTAGATTGGTTATTCTCTCTAACCCAAATCGTTGCCGCGGTCTGAACTTGGTTGGTATACTTGGACTCGCCATGAAAGCTTATAGTACTTCATAAATGGAACGGAGTGGGTTGGGATGGTGGATGGAGGGGTAGGAGTGGGATAAGGAAATAGAAGAGGAAGTTATATCTCTGTCCACTTTTCCCCCAACTGTAGCTCACCGCAACGACGTGGTCAAGCTCTGATGCGAAGTGACTAGCCAGATCAATTGTGTTGAAGAGGAAGGTTCAGGTTTGCAGAGGCGGAAGGGGCCTTGATCAGGTTTGTGGAGTCGGACAGGCCTGGATCAAGTCTGGGGTGCCGCCGCCACCATTATCGGAAGCTTGCCGCCATAATCACCATTGTTTCGAGCCACCGTCTGTAGCAGAATGTGGTTTGTGAACTGCTCCGGTGAGATACCTTCAAAGTGAGAACCGTTCTGGTGGGACCCAAAAGTTTTGGTTCCACTTTTGGGTCAATTAGGTGAAACGTACTGACACGATTCAACAAACAAGCCGAATGAATCGGTGATGTTGGGTCCGATAAGGGCTTTACGATCGCTGTCGGCAATGGAGGTGTGTTGGGTTTGATTAGGGCTTTGCAATTGGTATCGCATGGTGGTGTTGGCTTTGATTAGGGCTCTGCAATTGATATCGCATGGTGCTGGTGTTGGGTTTCAATTACAATCGGTGATGATGGTGATGAGGATAAATTAGGAATCTGTAAGAGTGCGTATGCGTGTTGGGTTTAATACGCTGATGTGGGGTTTTGATTTGGGGTCAATGGTGGACCGGTGGTGTCTCCTGCTGTGGTGGTGATGGTAAGGGTGTATTGGTGGTTGTGGGATGAGTATGGTGGTGGCGGTGGCTGTCACCGGTTATGGTGATGGTGGCGTAGATGTGGGTGGTGAGATGAGAGCTGAGAGAGGGAGGTATTGCCTAGTAATGCATCAAGGGAAATTATGTCATTTAAATCTTCAGATTTGTTATCAATTAAATGTTAAAGGGTCATTTTGTCTTTTATTAACTTTTTATGGGTTGTTTGGCTGAAATTTTTGATAGAAGGTGTCATTATCTAAAAAAAGACTAACTTGTATCTAAATGTCTTATGATAAATTTTAAAAATGTCACTGTACTTTATCCTAATAATATGGAGGACATCACGATGATGTACGTCCATAGAAGAACTTTTTTATTTTTATATTTTTATAGTTGGATTTGTGTGAATCAGCAGCACAGCTGGGATAGCCATAAATCTCTTTTCAGGGGCATATTCAACCTCGTAACATAATTTTTTACAATGCAAAGAATTAAGGATGGCAATTTGACCTGCCCCCGCGATTACTCGCCCCGTTTTTGGGGGACCGTTTTGTTTATTTGGGCGGGAATGGTTTAATGCAATAAAAACTTGTGCGGGTTTGGTGCGGGGGTGGGGGGAGGTGGCCTCGCACCGCCCCGTTTAGATAAGCAAATTACTTAAGTACTCTTATTTCATTAGTATATATATTTCCCACTATATATTAAGTATCCTATATAACAATATTAAAATAAAAAATAAATTTTATTAAAAGGAAAGTTACAATTGTAAATAATTGAAGATGAAGGAAAAAAGAAGAAGAGCATATCCATTTCAACAATAATTAAATTATAGTCTTAAACGGGGCGGGGTGGGTACCTACAAGGGTAAAAATATTAAAAGGTTTCAGGGATGGGGTGAAAAGTTCCTCCGTTTTTGCAATTTTGGGCGGGGAAGGGTGCGGGGTTTTTTAACTGTTGCGGGGGCGGAGGGAGGGTACACCAGCCCAAACCCGCTCCCGTTGCCATCCTTACAAAGAATCAAGAAACAAAAACTCTATCAAGGAGGACCAAAATTTTGATCGAATGAAACTTAGATTTATTTATTTATTTATTATTATTATTATTTGTTATCTTGTTTTAGCAATTAGGTTCTTATTACTATTATTATTTTCTTAATTTATATATGGAGAGTGCCAAATAGAATTATTTTTAGGATTCCTTTTTTTTTGAAATTTCTTTACTAGTACATATAAATGTACTCCATAGCAAATTTACGCCAACATTAATAATATTTCAGTTTTCCATCCAATTTGTGATTGCCAATTTCTTAATATAATTCTCAACTTAGCTTCTGCTTTTCCTTTAATACTAAAGAATATATTATCCCCTACCAGAGCTTTATATTTACATAACAAACAAATAAAACATATTAGTATAATAATCTACATATGATATACAAAAAATGTATAAAAAAAAGGGGAGAATAATTAGATAAAATTCCTGCATCACATCAACAAAAGGAAAAAAGAAGAATGATACTATTCTCGCAATAATATATATGAAATCAAGAACAAATATATTTACAGAATAATGAGAGGGTGGATACACATACATTTAGAGATTGATATTTTTAGGTTTGACAAAGTAAATGGTAGAGTTGAGACTAATATATATATCTATAAATCTGATTATCTGAAGAACATTTTGTAAGTATTGAAAAAAAAAAAAAAAAAAAACAGTCATTGTAACCAGGGGGAAGATTTATTATATCTATGCTAGGAATTTTGTATAGGTCTAGGGTGGAGGTAATTCGTTTCGACAATCTTCAGCTCTCTCACAGCCTCTGGTGTACGAATTAGCTGGTTGTGGTTGTTTGTTGCGTGAAGAAGGCTGATTACGACTCATTGCACCATAACCAATTTCCGTTGCATCTGTCACATGAGTGAGCAAGAGCAAGCCTATGCCTGTCACCATCACTACGAGGAAGAAAACACCTGTGCCTACTTTGGACATTCTTGTCATTCAAATTATATCTTATGACGATGTTGTTGTTAATTGTTGTGCCTGCAATGCCATATGTGCTCCATTGAATTTATAGAGTTTCTTCCTAAATTAGGGCATGATTTGTGAAGGGACAGTTAAACCATTCATTCCAACACACAAAAAAGAGGTGAGGTTGGAATACCCACGTCATCCCAAACCATTGATTAATTTAGAAAAATAATAGAAATCTCAGGTTTTATTTAGGAGGATTTAGTATTATTATTACTTCAAAAGATACAGACACAAGAACAAAGGAAAACTAGGAAACAGAGCATCCATCAACAAGAAAGGCTCTGGACGCGGGCTTGGAGACGCGCTCTGCTCAGTTCATGAACAATTTTGTTGCATTCATGCACGAGGGATCCATTAGTGAACAGAAAAGCTGGGATCAAGGTCAAGAGAGTGGAGTGTGTCCTCCATAATATAACAGAAATGGCTTCCTCGGATGGAGATAGGGCCATGACTGATTTGCAGTCACCCTCAAAAATTACTGAATAATAACCCCTTTGAAGCAATTGAGAAGACGACTTCACCGACGGTTCAAGCTTCAGCTACTGAGGGGGAGGATGCAAATTGAAAGAAGATTGATGCAATTCAGAGAACCGTACCATCCTTTCTCTCTTAAAGATATTCCACTTCCCGTTACTTCTAATTTCTTAGGTTAGTCACCTGTCCGTTATAGTTGATATTAAAATTAGAATAGAATAAAAAAGTGATTAAAGTTTTTAATCGATTCCAAAACATCCAGAACGTTACACTTTTTCTAGATGATTTAAGCTTTGGTTTATATGTGGGTGCATGGCCCCACTACACACCATATGAACGGAGATCCTATTTAATTATGACAAGAATCCATGTTGACATTATTAATTGGAGTCTACACAGAAAAGTTTGTCTCGTTAGTTTATACAGTATCCTCCATTGGAATGATAAACACCAAATGAAAATAGAGATTATGGCAAGGTCCTGTAGTACTGGTTGGACATTAATAATTGTAGTATAATTACAAAAACACAATAGTTGCTTGTAACATTACTCATGTTTCTAATTGGTCGATCCTGAACAATTGAAGTTGTATCGATTTATAGGATTTTTGTTCAGATTTTGGGTGGAGAAGATGAGGTCAACCTCGACAACGTTCAACATTCTCACAGCCTCTAGTGTAGGAATTTGTTGCTGATTGTGGTTGTTTGTTGCGTGGAGAAGGCTGGTTACGACTCAAGGCACCATAACTAATTTCTGCTGCACCTGTCACTTGACCGAGCAAGAGCGAGCCTAAGCCTGTAACCACCACTATGAGGAAGAAGACAGCTCTAACTTTTGACATGCTTAGTGATTAAAAATTAGAACTGTTGTTGACCGATGTTAAGGTAGCAGTAGGTGTACGGTTTGAATTTATAGGGGAGAGACATGGAAAGCTTTGATTCTATCACATTCTTAAAAAAAGGATTTTGAAATGTGAGGTTGGGAAGTGTTTGACTGATGTCCCAATTATTAAAATAAACATTTTACCAAGGACATAAATTCTTTTTTATCCTATTTTAGCAAGAATCTTTATTGGACTGACTAATGTTACAAAACAAGTATGTAGTTGTGTACTTTCAGAACAACGTGCATTAAAACTTCTTTCCTTGATGCAAACTCAAAAATTGCAGCATAATTCAAGAAAACCAGCAAGGATATATATACAGGAAAGAAGACCATTCTAACCTTGTGATGTTATGCTCACAAAATTATACATATATACGGATGGCAATGAAGCGGTTTTAGACACCTTATCTCAACCCGTCCAAAATTATTTATTGCGGGGGACGGGATTAGATGAGTAATTTTGTAATTGTATTAGGAATTAAATGAATGTAAATAATGAAACAATCAACATTTTTTCTTTTATGTGGATAAGAACAAGATGCAAATTATTAATTGAAACTTAAAAATTAATATTATTGTAGAAACATTATAATAATACATAGAAGTTCCCAAATAAAAATAACACAAAAGGGATATCTAGTGACTGGACTAGACAAACCTAAGTTTGGTAAACATATATCTAATATTTTTTAATATAAAATAAATTATGACAGTGGGGATCCATTTTGACAACCTTCAGCTTTCTCACGGCCTCAAATTTAACGAACAAATTAATTATTCAAGTTTCACAATTTCCACATGAACATTGGTTATGTACAAAAAATATTCTTGTAGTTATATTTACTATTGGGTTTATAAGAACACTGGTAAGGCGTCATCCTTTAATCTGGATTCATACAAGAGATATCATCAAATCTGAGGAATTTTTACCTAAAGAATGTAATAATGAAAGAGGATTTGGTCCACTCTAAAATTTGCGTGAACCAGTTAGGGACACAGCAGAAATTTATTTCAGGGCATACAAAACAACATAAACATTCACTGATTTATTTTTGTTATTGGGTTTACCGGAACACGGACAAGGCCTATTAACATTTTGTTTTATAAGAAAGGAGGAGGAGATGCGAAGAGAAGATAGGAAGGAATGAACAAACTTCTTTTAATAAATAAAAAGAAAAGAGAAAAGAGAGGAAAGATGAAAAGCAAGATTATTATAAAAAAGTTAAATTACATTACTACCTTTCATAATTATTAAATAGGATATCCAAATTAGTAAGTGAGCTACATTTTATTTTCATTCCAATAACTTTATTTATTTATTTTTTAATTAAAAAATATGATTCTCCTTATTAAATAAAGAAGGGAACATCCATGAACCAATTAGAACCATGCATATAATATAATGAAGGCGAGAAGTATAAATACTTATGGATATAATGATAAAAATAAATTAATATTCTCTCTTCATTTCTCACTGAGAGACAAAGTAAATCTTATCTCCTTTTTCTTTCTTCCAAGTTCTATTAAACCAACACAGTATTTCTGGGATATTTCATTCATTCATTTATTTATTTATTTTTTTCAATCTCCTTCCTTTATACCAAATAAAGCATTAATCTGGATTCATACAAGCTATCATCAAATCTGCAGAATTATTTGTGTAAAGAATGTAATAATTAAAGATGATTTGGTTCACTTTAAAATTCAAGTGAACCAGGCAGGGACAAAGCCAAAAATTTATTTCAGGGCACATCGAACATTATAAAAGAAAATTTTCAACTAACATACATGACAAATATATATGAACTTAAATTGCAATTCAAAGAATCAACCCATAAAGACCCGATCAAATTCGATCCGATGATCAATATTCATCAAGTTTGCTTATGATGTTGGTCATGAAGGTGCTTTTATAGTGTTTTTTAGTAAAATGAATATAACCAAAATTGAATTTTTTTGTTAATGGTAGAATCAAATTCAAATTTATCCGATTTTTTAAACCATCTTATTTTAGTAATTAGGCTCTTATTCTAATTTTTTTTTTTTTTTTTCCTTTTATTAACATAATCCATATTGAGAATAATAGTAGGGAAAGAGAAAAGTCTAAAGTCTTAGTTAGTAACAAAATATATGATTGCATGTGGATTGATTAAGGTTAATCCAAGTTGTAATGGATGGAAGATAAGCGGTAGTCTTGATTTCAAGATTTCGGTAGATAGGCCCCAAATGGTTGAATGAGCAGTGGTCTCATGCCATGGATAGCTAGTCAGTGTTCCAAATAGTGAACAAGCGGTAGACTTGTGCCATTTGGAGTTAGAGGCCTCTAGTGTGGATTTGTGTAGTGAGATTGATTGGTTGGAAAAGTGCTATTGATTGCATTGTTAGTTTTGTGGTAGACTAGTGCGCGTGAATGTGGTTAAGTTGATATTTATATGTTGTTACTAATGTCATGTATTATTGATTCCGTTATTTCCCTCGTAATAACATGATCCTTTTACCTTGCTCTCCCTCTTTTATATTTGTTTATTCACGGGACTTTAAGAGCCATGCCTTAGGCATACTCTATTGAGCGGTGGTATTTACCCCTTTACCTTAAACATTTTCAGGTCTTGAAGTGACGCAGAGGATGATACGCTTTCACCTGTTTAGACATAATTAGGAGATCGTGTTTTGTTGTCTCATATATTTAAGTTCAATGTAAATGAATTTGCATCGATGTATTAATGATGTAATTGATCAACAATGACGTTTGGATGCTATATTATCTATGTATATGAATATTTTGGGACATGTTTGGCTTGGTCTAAATGACCAATTTATGATTTAGAGGAGAAGAAAATAAAAAGGGGTCATTACGGTATTTTCTAGGTTTAGTCCGATCAATCGGATTTCAATCTGATTGATTGGATTTTCTGATACTTAAAATATTTTGAAAGCCCTCCAGAATCTGCTCTTGGTCCGATCGATTGGATTTTCCCACACTTAGAAAATTTTTAGGTTGTCAAAAATCACTTGGATTGGCCAGACTTCAAACAATCATAAATTGGTCACTTCTAACCCAAATCAAGCCATTCATGAGTCTAGATTGATGCATTTTGAGCCACCTTTCCATTGGAATCAATCTCATTTTATAATTTTAACTTAAAATGACTATTTTACCCCTTATGAGCCTAGGGTTCCGGCATGAACCCGAAGTTGGATTTACCATTCTTTAATGATCCAATGTGGTTATAAATGACTAGTATGACTTCATTATGACTCCTAACTCTTAGTAAGGTGTATAGTGATCATTTTGCCTTTAGTTGATCTCATGTTCGGGTGAGGACTTGGATAGCGATTCGGACCCCCGAGTTCGGGTCGTTACTTGTATTACATAGCAAATCCACAATTTAGCTTCTACTTTGTCAACAATATACAAAAATTCACCCATAAGAGTTTTATATTTACATAGCATACAAATAAAACATTTTAGCATCATCTACCTAGATATAAAATAAGATACAAAAATTTATAAAACTTGAAAAAAATAGATAAAATTACTACATCAAACAAACAAATGA